CCACATATGATGCAAAACGAATACTCACATTATTGAGGATTCATATTGTGAAATAATAAAGCTTTGTTACTAGTGTATTTGTAAACTTCGTTGAATACTGTTTTTGTTTTCGATGGAAAATAGCTCAAGCTCCCCTGTGAAATCTCTTCTGCGTACGCATAGTGTTCGCAATTGCATGTCTTCTTGAGCAGGGCTATAGTAATGCTGTTACGTACCATAAAATATTAGTGTGCTACAGGGAGACACCAGAATAACTGACACTCAATAACTGCTGAAAGTGGGGGATAGAGAACTCTTCCTACATTACTGATTCCCATCGCCCTGTGATAGCCCTTCTATCGATTGTGTCCTATGGTGATGAGTAGTTATTGAGTGACAACTCTTCTAGTGTTTCCCTGTCTGCTCATCGACCCACTATTATCTCACCATTTGGCTCCCCTTGCACTGCCACCTGGGAACGATAACGCTCTCGCAAGGTCATGTTCGAATTTTCGCGCGCTAAAGAAATGACGCCATGGCGTGGCATCGACCTGCAAATAGGCGCAACTGATTGATTGATTTCAGTAGCTTCACCACAAAAAACTACTAAAACACCGTACCCCGTTAACTTTGGAAAAAGCTCTAGGACGATTACAAGCTTTCCTTACTTGATTATACCAAATATCGATCACTCACAGATAGCACGGGTCTCATACAGTAAGGGGGGATGTGATGTGACAGTCCTTGTCGGCTACAGAAATTCCACTTCAGAATGGAAATTCCCGGGGAGCGTGAGACAAGCACCCAGGAGCTTACCTCCCCCGCAAAAAAAGTGGATTACTCCATGCAGTGTGAACTGTCGCACCACATGCCCCCTTTACTGTATGAGACCCGGTAGCGCTACTACTGCAACCATTGCAACCCACAATATTCACATCAACTAATCAAATAATTTTTATTCAATCTCCATGCAATAGGTATTCGTTAACGTTTCAATTGTGGCCCTAAAGAGGGCCGTTGGGTTAGATGTATGAATGTTTCGATCAGCAGATCAGCTTCTTATCCACCGAATCCGTACAGGGTACGTCCTTGGCGTTTCAGGGCGTAGACGACGTCCATAGCAGTGACGGTCTTTCTCTTCGCATGCTCACAGTAGGTGACCGCATCACGGATCACGTTCTCAAGGAACACCTTCAGAACTCCACGAGTCTCCTCGTAGATCAGACCAGAGATACGCTTCACTCCACCACGACGAGCGAGACGACGGATTGCCGGCTTGGTGATGCCTTGGATGTTGTCACGAAGAACTTTGCGATGGCGTTTGGCTCCTCCTTTGCCGAGTCCCTTGCCTCCTTTTCCACGTCCGGACATTGTTGCGATCGAGCAGTTGTACTCACGAATGAGATGCCGTTCGCTGCGCGCCCGTCGCTTATATACCCATTCGCCAGGTCACCACGTGGGGCCCCCACAATCAACCACACCAGCGTCACCCCTCTCCCCTCGTCACCATTCTACTCATTCCATCACCAGGAAAAAAAAATTTTTTCACCATTTCATGCGCTATACACTTTTCTTCTTTCGGACCACATCCGTTGTATATGAAGACACACAGACAAACAAATCGACATTTATTACAAGTGATATTAGTTCTCTCTTCCTAAGGCTGAGAAATCTAAGTTAATTCGTTTAGTTATGCGATTGTGCCGGGATCGGTCTGAAAGAGGGAGCAGGTTGGGTTAGGATTGAGTTTCAAGACTCCGGGTTGCTTATGCTGCGTTCACCCACGGATAACGGCGGGCAGCTGGCCAACTGTACTTGGGCATGATGGTCGACCATTTCGGTACTACTGGCATAGAATACGACGGCGAGGCACAAGTTGGTGTCTTCGAACAGACCAACGAGGTACGCTTCAGAGGCCTCTTGAAGAGCCATCACAGCCGACGACTGGAAACGCAGATCAGTCTTGAAATCTTGAGCGATTTCACGAACAAGACGTTGGAACGGCAATTTGCGGATGAGCAGCTCGGTCGACTTCTGGTAACGACGGATCTCACGAAGGGCGACGGTTCCTGGGCGATAACGATGGGGCTTCTTCACTCCTCCTGTGGCCGGTGCGGATTTGCGAGCGGCCTTGGTTGCCAACTGCTTTCGTGGGGCCTTGCCACCAGTAGATTTGCGAGCGGTCTGCTTGGTACGAGCCATTGATGTAGAGAGTCCTAAACGAACGGTAAGTGATTTAGTTCGCCCATCAGGGTCAAGCGAGGCGTTGAGGAAAATTTGGAAATACGACCCCCCCCCCACCACCCTCCGCCGGAGGCCGAAGTCCATGAAACAACCCTCTTCAAAAGCCGAACTATGAAAAGGTTGAAAAGCTTGTTTGATTCTCCCCCAAAAGTGCTCATAAAGCCCTGCTACCCCACCGCCCACAAAAAAATTCGTTTAAGAAGTACAAAAGTGAAAAAGTCAAAGAATAATCATTATTGATGAGTCCTACCAAACGAGCAAACGAGAAACAGACCAGAAAACGACAAACTAGCCACTAAAAATGGCATACTATGACAACATCTGTTCTTTATTTATTTCCTCCACAAGACTTACCCAAATTCTAGTACTACACAGATTGTGGTTCTCAATTTGCACGTAGCCCTTCAGTTGAAAGAAGCTTTTTAACCGCCTTCGCCAGCTGTGTGTTGACTGGACTTTGGCGTTGACCGTGGAGCAGCTTATTTACTATTGAAATTTGAACAAATATTCAAATGATTATAACTTTCTTCAAAATGACGAATTTTCAATCTGAAAGCTGATTTGGGAGTTTTGTGAAGAGCTTTTTCTAATCAGTACTGAAATTACAGGAAGTTATAAGAAATAACAAATTTAGATCAAATAACGAGGAAAATTCGAGACGAGCACGAGTTTTTACACTTTCCGGAGCAATAACTTGCTTCATTTCCGTCAAATTCAAAAAGTTGATACGTCATACAAAACTAGAAGATTTTCTCTATCAAACGGTTGCTAAAGCAGCTTCATACGTCCAGTATTCAAAAAATGGCCACGTTGAGGATTTTCTGCAAAATTAACGAGGAAAATTTGTGATGAGTGCGAGTTTTTTTATTTCCTAAAGCCATAACTCCGTTCAAACTCATCCAATCCGAAAAGTAAATACGCCATCATAAACTAGAAGATTTGCTCTATCAAATGCTTACTAGAACTGCTCCAAACGTCCAGTATTAAAAAAACGGCTACGTTGAGGATTTTCGCACGAGTACCGCCGAAAGGTACTTTTTCGCTACATTGGCACTATTTCAACGGCTGTATATCCTTTTAAGGGCGTATGTACTAAAGTAAGAGCAGATTTGGAATCATTGCTTTTCTCTTTCTAAGAAAAGTGATTGATTAGCGTTTCTCAACTTTAAAGGTTACATGTTTATAAATTTAACCCTGAAGAGTCCGTTAACGCAGTGTTGAATGGTGTACACCTCCCTGTAAATGCGCACGGACACTTTCAGAATTCTCTCGATTGTTCCTGAATTGAGGTTGTTTGTCCAAGGAGCCGTAGTTCAAGCGCGCGCAACAACTAGACCCTTTCTCGGATGCGCCGTGTACCTCACATGTTATTACAGATTCGGGGTCTTACTTGAAAGATGAAATATCTCTTGGAAAGCGTGCGAAATTCAGATTCTTTAACTTGTGTGGTGATAAAACACTGAAGTAACTAAGAATTACCGGACGCCTCAGAATCACGAAAATTTTGTGTGGGTGAAATATCATTTTCATTGGAAATCCTCTGGCCTGGCATCGACTCATCCTTGATATTTGTCTTCCGACGGTGATGATCCCACTGCATCAAAATGGCTCGATCTCTTCCACCCAGCGGGCCGATACGACCCCCCCCCCTGCGACGTGTCGAGGATTCCTCAACGCCCGCTTGACCCTTTTCGACTTACATCGCTCCTGGCGCCCATTCTGCTTTTATATGCATTCTGAAATGCGGGGCGGAGCCTAATTGTCGCTAATCGCGACCCTGCACACCTGCGCTCAAAAATCGTGTTTGAATTCAGAAAATTTCGTTTGGTCACTATATTTACTGGCTAATGAGAATACAGTATAGGGTGTTTGGTAGGATTATTTCAGTTGAATATTTGTAGGCACAGTTATCCACGAGCCCGTGAAATCATGTTTTCTGTAGAGCGCTCTGGCCTCCTACACAAATTGCTTGAAAATTGCCCTAACAGATACCGTAATGCTACCGTAACCCATGGAAAAGATGACCTATCATGTCATGGTGGCTCCGAAAATGGGAATTTTTTGTGATCATCATGAATAGAAGACTGATAACCTGAAATTTTTTGTAAACGATTTTTTCGCCTTCGGTGACCGTTCACGAAATTGATTAAAGCTTATTTAGGAAAAACAGATTAATTCTGATAGAGCTAACCATTTCGATTTACAAAACATATCAGACTCAAAGACCGAGATATGATTATGGATTGAAAAAGTATTCGAAACAGAAATACCTCGCTAAGGTGCTGTGTACGGCGTTAACAAACCTAGCCGATATACGCTGCGCCTACTGATGAGTAGTTAATGACGACCTGTACAAGTATCGCTTCTCGGCCTTTTGGCTAAGATCAAAGTTTAGTTTCTGTTCTTATCGAATTAACCTTCGATAGAGATTCGAATGAGTCTCGTTAAGGTTATTTGATTTTTGAGACCGGACGAGGTTGTGGGCTTGCTCGCACCTCGTCACGGGTCGGCCCAGCGTTGCACTGCTGTTGGGATCGGCCCACCCCTCTGGGGGAATAAGAATGATTTGAATTGGAAATGGAAACAGTGCCTTGATGATCAAAGGAAGAATATTATTGATGTAAAAAATGCAGGATTTCTCTCGAAACGTCAATATACATATGAATTAGGGCTCTGATCAAACCAGACAGAAGTACGCTGCATCAAGTAGAGTGGCTATGACTGTGTGCATCCAGGTTAACTCTGGCTCCTATGCATTTAATCGAGAAAATCTTTCGCCTTTTACTAAAGATTTCCGTGCACAGGTGCAATCATGAGTATTGAATAATTTTTGGAATCCCCTCGAAAGAGCGGGATACAAATACGGTCGGTTTATGGAATAGATAGGAGCTTTCCATAATTCCGTATTGAAATCCAGGAAAGTTGTCCTACTTGTTTTGAAATTCTCCTGAAAAAAGCTCCTATCGCCTTGACTTGGAGTAAAATTTTTCCTGCACAACTCCAATGTGTAGGTCATTTTCTAGAGAAAGATCATTCAATATATGTACAACTCGTGTACGTAAAATAATTAGTCAAGAATTTCGCTTTTTAAGTATGTTTTTTTCCATCATACCCCACCATAAAAGGGTTTTTTTTTACCAAACTATATGAAACACTCTATGCGTAAACAAACTTTATTCAATATGGTTTTCAACACAGAATATTTGTATTCGTTCTTTTATGCAAATGTGGCCCTAAAGAGGGCCGTTGGGTTAGATGAAGATGCACCGAAGGCAAGTAAATCAAGATTTACTTGCTTGAGGTGTACTTGGTGACGGCCTTGGTGCCTTCGGAGACGGCGTGCTTGGCGAGCTCTCCAGGAAGAATCAGTCGGACGGCGGTCTGGATTTCGCGAGACGAGATCGTCGAGCGCTTGTTGTAGTGAGCCAGACGAGATGCCTCAGCAGCGATACGCTCGAAAACGTCATTGACGAACGAGTTCATGATCGACATCGCTTTTGAGGAGACACCAGTGTCGGGGTGCACTTGCTTGAGAACACGGTAGATGTAGACCGAGTAGCTCTCCTTGCGCTTGTGCTTCCTCTTCTTGTCTCCAGTACGGCTGGCCTTCTGGCTCTTCGCGGCTTTCTTGGCTCCCTTGGCGGACGGCTTTGGTGGCATCGTTGGTCGAGATAGTCACTGAACGTGAATGAGGAATGGGGTCATCATGCTGCGCCTAAATACCTGCCGTGTAACCATGCTCCGCCCATTGGCGCAAGGGACGTGGTCCGCGCCACTTGGCCCCCGATGGGCGGAGCATTATCACGGCATCGTGCATAATCGTTGCCCCTGACCCTAGAAGGGTTACCCGTGAGTGTTCATCTCGCAGTTCTCAGTCGTCGTATCATCATGTCTGGACGTGGAAAAGGAGGCAAAGCTAAGACCGGAGGAAAGTCGAAGTCGCGTTCATCGCGAGCTGGACTTCAGTTCCCAGTTGGTCGTCTTCATCGTATGCTCCGCAAGGGCAACTATGCTGGACGTATCGGTGGTGGAGCTCCTGTCTACCTGGCTGCTGTTCTCGAATACCTCGCCGCTGAGGTGCTCGAGTTGGCTGGAAACGCTGCTCGTGACAACAAGAAGACCAGAATCAACCCTCGTCATCTCCAACTCGCTGTCCGCAACGACGAAGAGCTCAACAAGCTCCTCTCTGGTGTGACCATTGCACAAGGAGGTGTTCTGCCAAACATCCAGGCTGTTCTCCTACCCAAGAAGACTGCCGGTGACAAGGAATAAGCGCCCACTCGTGCTGTCTCTAATCTAACCCAACGGCCCTCTTTAGGGCCACATATGATGCAAAACGAATACTCACATTATTGAGGATTCATATTGTGAAATAATAAAGCTTTGTTACTAGTGTATTTGTAAACTTCGTTGAATACTGTTTTTGTTTTCGATGGAAAATAGCTCAAGCTCCCCTGTGAAATCTCTTCTGCGTACGCATAGTGTTCGCAATTGCATGTCTTCTTGAGCAGGGCTATA